CTGGGAGGTGGGCTGTCCTGGGAGTCTTTGCTGTTCCTGGACCTACAGTAACGATAGTTTTTGGACAATTATCTGAGAAGTTCAAGATCCTTTGGGAATCTGGAACAAGAAATTGTGAAAAGCTGACATTGCCCAGCTTCTGCTGTTTGTTTCTTCAACTTTGAAGGGGAAAGATGTTGGATAGGTACAAATGGTTTCCTCACAGACACAACTTGAGCAATGAGCATGCTTCTATGTAGCAGTAAACAGATGATCAAGAGTAAAGGAGTCAGATCCAAAGAGAAGATGGGGATGCTAAGTTTCCAACTTTTAGTCATCTTGTAGCCTATACAAGGAGGTAATATTTCCAGCAAAGCACCTTTTGTATGCTCAGAATAATGTCTTGTCTAGTTCCTCAAAGAAAGCAGTTCTCAAGGTAGACTCTGCAGGGCAGCATTGGGGGAGCTTGGCAAAGGTAAATTCTCAAGTCCTTCCTGCCCTCTGGCTGGAAGTTAAAGGGAGCAGGCCTGAGTTTTTCATGTTTACTGAGTCTGGAAACCTGTGTTTTCATGTGTAGGTTTGCCTGAACTGCAGCTTCACCTCTGAAAATGAGAAACAAAACCAAAGAATACTAAGAAAAACCAATCATTTTAATTACTGTTCCACACTCAGTAGAGTTGGAGAGCCACATTTGCCTTCTAGTCCCCAATGTGCCCTTCAGGCATTTCTTGGCTCACCCTGAATCTTACTTCTACCTACTTTCCTCACACTGCAAGTGGCTTAAGGACACATAAAAGATGGTACTAGATGGCTTTCCTTTCTTCTTAAATTATTTTGCCATTTATGAAAATAGATAGGTGCTGTAGAGTTGCACAACTGTGATTAAGTGCAGCCAGGCAAATGCTTCAGACTTTAGGCCAGAGATTCTCAAAGCTTCCTCTGAAGATGCCTATCACTCACTGCTTTCATTGGCCTAGCTCTTTGCTGAGACTAGTTATTGAATATCTCTGTGCCTCCACTTCCTTACCTGTGAACCGTGGATAGGGCAAATTGTTTCTCTAAGGTGGTTACATGAAATGGATATAATGCATAGAAAGTTCTCACATGTACTCCTGGAGGAACAGCCAGCAATTCCTACTTTTAAGGGTCATTTATTACCGAGCTGTAATGAGTTCTGTTCCACCAAGGACTACTGGGTAGGGTTGGCTTGGACTGAAAAGATTTTACATGTCTAGGAGTTTTCAAGACATCAGAAATTTGTCATTAACCCTCCTCACCTTGCCTACTGGCTTTTTCTTATTTGACATCAAACACTTTCCCTTCTGTGCTTCTTGTTAAAGAGAGTCCAGCACATTGCCTCAAATAGCAGGGAGAGAGCCGAGGTTTTGAAGATTACTTAGGCACACTGCTCAAATCCTTCCTGGGGTTTCTGTCTTGCTGTTCAGAGGACCATGCAGAGCAGAGTCATATGGTGCAAGGAGGAAGCCAGGAGCCAGAAGCCAAGAGCTGTCATGCAGAAAGATGCTCTCTTCCGCCAACCCTACCAGTCTACAGAGTTTCTGTTGCTCATAGTTTCTGAGAACTCCTTTCTCTGGCTTTCCTCAGATACTCCTTTCTGTTTGTACTTCATATCCACTGATGGGGCCCTGCTGAAGAGGAAGTAAGACAAGCCAGGGATGATGTTCATTAGGATGCATCTACTTGAGGGAAACCGACCATTTGAAGGGTACTTGTATTGTGTTCTTTCCTGGAAGTATGGGTTTGGATTAATAAATACCAATCACACTTCTATGCTACAGCTCTGGTAATTTTCAGGGACTATGTGCATATTCGGTCTGCAGTTGCTGGTTCCCTATGAAGACAGTAACAGTTTTTGAGGAAAAGATGTCTAATTCTCTCCATCTGTTCTGCTTGATAAAGTACGTAAGTGTTGATGGAAGTTTCTGTCCTGCCCTGTACCACAGCTGTTTAGTACCAAATAAACAAGCAGAGGCTTATATTAATTATAAATTGTTTGACCTATTGCTTAGGCTTCTTCTTATTGGCTAGCTCTCTCTTAAGTATTAGCTCATTTCTATTAATCTTTTTATCTCCACATCGTCTTGGCTTACTAGTGATGCCTGCATATCTATTTTCCTTCGCAGCTACATGGCATCTCCATGACTCTGCCTACTACCTTTCTCTATCCATTTTTGGATTTCCCACCTGGCTAAATCCTGCTTGTCCATTGGCTGAAACAGCTTTATTCATTAACCAATAAGAGAAACATATATACACAGCATGCAGAAGGACATCGTCCATTGCCTATGGTTGAACCACTTCTCTTTTGAGTATGCCCCGTTACAATCATCCAAGTGATAGTATTTTTCCCATAATCTCCATCATGTCTCTTACCAACAGCATTTTATCCTTAAAGAAGGGCCCCACAGAAGTAAAGCATAAAAGGTTCACTCTCACAGCAGTATCAAATTCATCACAACACTGTGAGTCCTCTGCCCTTGAGCCAGAACTCAAAGAGATGCTTTTCATAGAGGGTAGTATGACTTAACATATGAAAACAGTACTTTTGAGCACAGTGAGTTAAATCAGATATTTCTAGGGAAAGAATAGCATGTCATTAATAGCTATTGGATGAGCCCTGGTAAGTACACTTTGTCCAGGTACTGAGAAACTGAGTGAATGTAGTATTGGGTCGCAAACCCCATTGCAAACCATGTATTTTTTCAATTCATTGCTTTAAAAGAAACTGAAAGAGGGGGCTGGAGAGATGGCTCAGTGGTTAAGAGCACTAGCAGCTCTTCCAGAGGTCGTGAGTTCATTTCCCAGCAACCACATGCTGGCTCATAACCATCTATAATGACATCTGGTGCTCTCTTCTGTTGTACAGGCAAAACATGCAGATAGAACACTGTATACATAATAAATAAAATTAAAAAAAAGAAATTGAAAGAGGAACTAATTGAACTGTCAGCCATGAGATTATCAGAATAATTTTTGAAGCTATATTACTTTGCAGTTTTTTGCCATATATCTTGAAAGGCATTCAGAAAATTCAGTGTCATTGGTATAGAAGATTTTCATTGCCATTTTTGTGCTTATATGAACAAGGTTTCCTTAAAGCAAAAGCAGAATAGAATTGATCCTAAATGTTATCTCGTTATAGAAGTAAATGATTTCTTAATTTGTGGTTTGAAATAACCAGGCTTACCCATGTGATTAAGCTCCGTATTTACACTCCAAGTTAACTTTTTATGGTTAATTATTACTTAAAATGTGGAAGGTATCTATATTGTTTTGTCAATTTTACATTTGTGGTGATAACTCATTTTAAAAGCAAATATTATTACTTAGAGTTTTATAGCCAAAGAACATAAAAGAAATTTGAAATTCAATCTCTATATATTTTTGTTACAGATAAATATGATAGGTGATCAATAAAATGTTTTCAAGCATAAAATGCATCATGCTGAGGACATATAATAGAAGAATCTCAAGTTTAAAAAGGAACAATATATACTTATGACTTTTAGAGAAGAGCTTGTTCATGAATTTTGAAGATAGATCATCATGATTATCAATCATTGTAGTGTTCAAATTCCACTGAACACACACTCTCTCTCTCTCTTCTCTCTCTCTCTCTCTCTCTCTCTCTCTCTCTCTCTCTCCCTACCCCCAAAGAAACTTCTCAGGAAGTTTTATTTTAAGGTGAGTTATTTTCTATGGGCCAAAAGTGAATTATTTGAAGCTACAGTTTAACTAAATCAGTTTACAAATAATGCTGAAGGTTACAAAACTGCCCCCAAATAAAAGTTAGCATCGTCAGCTGCTCCTCCTTACCTGCATTTATCGTGGCTCCTGAATTTTGCAGAGGTTTTTCTCTTTGCCACCCTGTGTTCTTAGGAGCCCATCTGTCTCTTAAACCTGCTTGGACCACTTCTTTGTCCCACCCAGTGATAGTCAGACTGTGTGGAAAGCCTTGTTCTTACCCAGAAGTTAAGACTCACCTGTCTCTTGTCCATGCAAGGATGCCAGCTCTGCCTCCAGTCTCTTATGTGAGTGTACAGCAATAATCTGTGGGTGTACACATCTTTGGCCCCTCAGAGCACATTCATTCTCATATTGCATTCTGGGTCTTTCTGTATCTCTTCTCAGGTTCTCAAGTCATGAGGCACATTTGCCAATGTTCTTTCCCAGCTACAGCCACATTTGTCTCTCCCATGGGCGTTGGTAGCTGCAAGTTATACACAGCAACAAGAAATTGTTATTTGTATTCCCAGCCTGTCCTAGCTGGGAAGACGAGCTGAAGGGCTTGCTGTGATTATAAGCTGCAGTCACGGGGTGAGGGAGGAGTACAGAAAGGAAGAGGGCGCTGTTGAGAATCTTACCTCCCCTGCAATCTTCAGAGGTAGCTGGGAGCGCCTGAGAAAGTCCTGGTTTGCTAAGGTGAATTTTCCCCATCTTTGTAGGCTTTGTGCAGCTTAGGGGCACAAGGAGATTACGAGCACCTAGGAGGTCTGAGGTAAATAAGTTCAAGTCTTGATTAACTACAAGTTAAGTATTTGCTCATGGATTATCTGTGACCTATTTGAAATACTGATCTACTTTCTGTCCCTTGTGCCTTGGGGTCTTTGCTACAGCGATGTGGTAAATGTGCTCAAGAAATATAAACTAATTTTCATATAAGCCTGAGGGTAAAGTAAGGGAAAACGCAATGTGCAAGCAAGATATTTATATAATATGTTCCTAAATCAAGGAGAAATGATTTTATATCATGGCTTCTTCTGGGTGATTCAAGCCTCCCCTGCCTTGCGTTCACAAAGTTTCATTAATAATTGATTGTCTTCTTTTCAGATTGTTGCTGTTTCATTTCCTCCTTTCCATATAAGAGCACACGAGTAACCTCTTTCTCTCCTCTCTCTCCTTCCCTCCTTTCCTCTCTCCTCTCTCTCTTCTCATTCCTCCTCCCTCTTCCCTCCTCTTTTCTTCCTCCCCTCTCTACCCTCTCCCCATATCCCTCACAGGTGTACCATCGATGATCGGGTTACCAGGGTGGCCTGGCTAAACCGCAGCACAATCCTCTATGCTGGGAATGACAAGTGGTCCATAGACCCTCGAGTGATCATCTTGGTCAACACGCCTACCCAATACAGTATCATGATCCAGAATGTGGATGTATATGATGAAGGTCCATACACCTGCTCTGTGCAGACAGACAATCACCCCAAAACCTCCAGGGTCCACCTCATAGTGCAAGGTAAGTTACAGCTAGACCTGGGCTGATGTTCCTTTTGGAGAAGTTCCAGGACAGTAACCTTGGTCTTTTTGCCTATGAATAAAGATGCAAAGTTGAGAATTGAAAATCTTCTAAAAGTTATTCATTTTTTAAAAAATTTCTCCAGCCCTTTTTTTTCTCACCAGGAAGCTTTTGTGCATATAAGGCTGAACTTTCTTAAGAGACTTAAGAGACTTAGCATTTGAAGATGGAGCAGGATTCAAATACAGATCAATGCAGTGTTAATCACAGAGGTCTTTATTTCTCTTAGGCTTGTTTCATAACAAAAGGCTAATATTGATGTGAAGCTGGCCATGTGTGTTCTAGAAATGATGCTGAGTTCTATCCAGTTAGGTCCTCTTTGGTGTCCCTGCTATGTTTATACTTCCTCACAGCCCCATGGTGGGGCTAAGATTGGAAATGAATTCATATAGTTAAAAGGAGCAGAAAGATGCTTTAGCATCATTGTCAATTCTTCAAAAAATTCTCAGTCAGTTTAGCCCAAGCATAATATCACATGTATTTTTGATGGCTTTTGCTATTGATTATACTAACTACAAATAAATAATCTCAGATGTCAGATACTAAACACTGAGTTTAAAAGACCTGCAGAGAACAGTCATAAGAATTTGAAAACAACGTTAAGGTAAGGCAAGTAAGAAAAATAGATTTATTTTGAACTATCACAATTGCCATTGTGGCTTAGATAATTATGTTATTATGGTAAGAATGAACTTTCAAACAGAAGTACTCCATCCCAATGAGGAGCTTAGGTTGTCCTCGCTCAAGCACCCAGCTGATATCTTAGAGACATCCACTGAACACTCAGAAACTTTAGTTTATCAGATTCTATCTGGCATAGACTCAAGAGAATTCGTAAATTACCTTTTACTTTTATATTGTGAAATGTGTATACCATCCTCCATAGCCAGAAGGGGTTTTTGTTTGTTTGTTTGTTTTGTTTTCCAAAACTAGATATAACTCATTTAAGTTGGTTTCATAGACCACAGTAGATGGAAGTTGGAGTCTCTTCACACTCACTTAAACCGTTTCAAATGCCCACTCTTCCTTTGGACAGAGCAGTCATTACCATCTCAGTATCCACACCTACCTCTGTGACACTTTGCAATGGATGTATTGGGACAGAGATAGGTCTGTTATAACTTGTCTTCCTCAGCAGCTCTTTGGAAAGACACAGTGCTAGAGCCTGGCTTCTATCTAATCTGTTGGTTCTCTCTACTCCACATGATTTCAGGGATTCAAAAGAGCCTGTCATGGAATGGACATTTACAGATGTTGCTGGTTTCAATATATGTGTTCCACCCAAAGGGTAGGGGATTGGCTAAGGATCACTGCTTGGAGAATCAAGATTGGTTGCTATCTGGAAATAAAGGCACAGACATGTCCCTTCTCAAAGGACAGTGGGGACAGTGAGTGAGATTAGTGATTGAAGATGCGTTGGAATGTTCCAATATCTGCTTGACACATCTGCTTGATCCCACAACATTGATTCTCAGCCTTGAAGGTGGCACACCTATGGCCTTAAAGCCCAGTTGTCTTCACATCCAGAGGGTGTGGCACTGAAATGGCAAAGAAACTGTCCGGGGCTATATTAAAACAGACTCAAACAGACCAAGGCTGTTGACATCAACAGAATGATACAAACATATAAGTATGTGAGAACTGAGACAGGTCATATGGAGCTCACAGGAAGTGGTTTCAGGGATGATGCCTCTGCAGTGCACATTGGGTAATTCCTGAAGTGTGGTGTGGAAGTCTATAATGTCATCTGATGTGTGTGGGGCACTCATAGAGAGTGTGAGAGTAGGGACCCAGGGGCAACAGTTTCTCCTAACCTAGAAGTCAGCTCCTCCCATTCTCTGTATCCAAGGCCCAGCTCTGGCCTCCTATGAGCTTATGGAGTACAAAAACAAGCCAGCAGGTGACTGAAGGATAAAGGATGCTCTGTTACCAGAACAATCCACACATGGGATTTCCTATTAAGTAAGAGGCCAGGAGCATGAGGTGAGCAAGGGCATTCCTGCCTGTCCTGGTGAGCAATTCGGGAATCCTCAGGGGGCAGATGCAGCAACCCTGCTGCTCTTGCGATTCAGTGAGAGAGAAGCCAAGTTCCTCTCTCTTCCCAGCAGCCATCGGCTTTTGTCCAGTCTATAGATTAATTTTTCAGACTTGGTGTTAGTTCAGGTTAGATAAAGATAATGAAAGTTTCCTAATCCTCTTAAAGAAGATTTATCTGACCGAGTAGAAAGCCTTTGGAATACAATAAGGCATGTAGAAAACTGAGGCCTAATCTTGCCTTTAATTTCAAACCGCTGATGGGTATTGATTTTGCAATAAGAAAAACTGAAAAATTTCCGAGATGTGACTTGTCTGCTTTTTAAAATGTTTATTTATGTTCTGTCTATTTGACAATATTAATATATCATTACTGTTACAAATTAGGTGTCATTAGCAAAAGGGAGGGCATCCCATGCAGCTTCTATCTTTTTTGTTTGTTTGTTTTCTACTGCAATGTCCAGGCCCAAGAGATGCTCTGCCTTGGGTCAGATAGGACTGGTTCCCAAGTCTACCTGTTTACAAGCCACCTTCATTAAAATTCAGCCATTGTTCCCTCCAGTACTTCTTGGCCACTGAGAAGTTCATTTTATGTCACCACATAATCCTGTGTAAGAATGTCATTTAGACTGTATAAGGAGTGCAAAAGAAACCCAGAGTAGTGAGGAATTGTGGCTCTGGGTCAGGTTAGTCATGGTAGGAAAATTCACTTGGCTACCTGATCAAGGAGGTACTGCAGTGGGGTGGGAGACACAGAGGGACAAGAAAAGGCTACAAGTTGCATCAAGCATCCAAAACAGTGTCATGAAGCCGGATTGTGGACCTGCCTGGAGAAATGTAAAATAATGGAAGAGCTGTTGTCTAGGGACAATGGTGAGAATTGATCCTTAATGCTTTGACTGAGGAAGAGATAAATGAGGACACCTATATTTTTGAATTTGAGGAAGTGATGGTGGCCTTGATGTTAACTGCAGAGATAAAATGTTGTGGCATTCTGAAAGAACAGCATCACCTGGATGTGATAACACAAAGGTGTGATTGTAGCTTAATGCCAGTGTCTGAGATTCTGTCTTGTCAGGGCTTTACTAGCTTGGTCGTGGCTGAGCTGCTGAGGCTAACTGTCCCTAGAGAGCAACAAGAATCATGACTTATTTATCTCCAGTCCCATCAATTAGCATGCTGAAGCATTGCAGGCACTGGGGGTGTTTATCTGTGAGGTGATTCAGCAACTGTACCACTGTCTGAACAAGGGATCCTGAAGCCTATCCAAGCACACAGGTTTATGGAAGTGAGCCAGGCACTATCTGATGAGTTTCAGAGGATAGTGATGGAGACTGTTCCCTGGAGTAGAAGGCTAGATTGTGACAAGCTAAGAGGTGTGTCATAATAAGGATGCTCCAGATTGCACACATTTCTTTAGTACTGTTCAAAGATGCTTACAATCTCTGTCTCATTTGACTCTCCTAACAAACTCTGGGAAGCAGCAGTGCATTGACTGTTATCTCCATTTGCAAATTAGGTACCCATAGTTCAGGAGGTTGGGGACCAGCCATGGTTCCCAGTAAGCCAGGAATAGGGCTGGGTCTTAAACTACAACCACACTGATACAGGGAAATAAGGGTCCCCTCTTGGGGTTATTAGTCTCATTTAAAAGGAAATCAGGAATGGACATAAATTAGAGCTAATGACAATTATTTTTGGAATTTGAAATAAATACGACCCCAGAGCAGGCATGCTGCAAACTTCAACTGCTGTACAGAGGGGAGAGTGGAGTAAAGAAAGGAAAAGCCATGCCATTTAAGCTGGCATGGAGGTCAGACACATGGTGGACTGGCAGCTAAATGGAGGGGAAGGAGGCCTTAGAGAAAGAATAAAGAAGCCTAGAATGTTGACAGACCCAGAATTGCTAAGGCAAGCCTGCTAAGAAAAGAGGCAGAAAAAGGAAAAGGAAAAGTGGTCAGACTTAGGAAGCTACATGCACTATAGGTGGGTGGGATTCTGGGAAGGAAAGATAAAATATCTCATTAAAGGGCTGTTTATTCCCTTTTTACTGTGACATAAGGGGAGAGCCTGCCTTCCTAGGGGTGGCCTCTTGGTTAAGTGATTGATCCAGCCCAACTTTAATGTTAGAACTCCACCCAGACTAGAGATTCAATTCTCTTGACCAGAGGTTTTCCTCAATGGCTGTTACTGTTCTGTAATAATACAATTGCAAGATCACATCTCAGCCTATTCCAATGCGTCTACTGCCAACCATGCTTATTTGTTTCTCTGCTCTAGATCCATGGAAAAATTTCTCTGTGTTTTAGTGTGTGTGTGTGTGTGTGTGTGTGTGTGTGTGTGTGTCTGTGTTATAGAGATATGTGCGCATGCATTATTTTGCTTTGTTTCTTTCTTACTGCGATACTGAATTGTACCATTAGAAATTAAGGACAAAGCCCCAAAAAGAAAGTGAGCAGTGAGGGAGGGACTCCAAAGATGCCATAAATGGTACAAAGAGGCTTGGAGAGAGGCAGAAAGAAGATAATTAATTTTCTAGTAGCTCATCCCTCCAGGGGTACACATTTTAAATGTTACCATTTTATCCTATGTAAGTACTGAAAACCCCGGCTCCTTTGGGGATCCTGGATTTAATTGTCATTCTAATCTTCATTAACTCTCAACATTCTGAAACCTCAGCAGATCTATGAGTGCTGGTGGTCTGGGGTGTTGCTATTTGTTAGGAATGGATGCAGTAGGGAAATTTGCTCTGTCTTTGCTTATGGGTTGTTGATACTCTCAGTCTATTCTCTCAGCTGGCTTAGAAATCTGTGGTCTGTGAGGTATCTCTCTTCATGAAATGTATGCTTTTTGCAAAGCTTAGATTTATGCAGAATCTTTGAAAAGATGAAATGGCTCAGATAGTA